ACTCGACATCTCCGGACTCCTGTGAGCCTATGTCCGACGGAGCTGTACTCTCCTCTACCGACACATTATTGCTGCTGCCACTTGACATCGGAGCGTCCTTCCCGTTGTCGTCGTCGCTGCTCTCCGATTCGCTCCAATTCTTCCCTGGGTCTTCGCCAAACTGCTTGTCGTCGAGAATCTTTCTTATGGCCACCTGACGAGCTTTAGCACCTTCACCGTCCATGAAGCCCGGCATCAGCCCCGCGCCAGGTGGCACCCCCTGTTGTGTATCGGTATGGGGGGTAACCCTGCTGTGGACGGCCTGGCGGACCATGCCGCTCGGTGCCGGCTGGAGCTGTACGGCGCCAGCAGGCGTGATCTGGGCAACACCATGCCCAGCAGCTGCACCACTTTCACCTCCACCCTGCAGTCGCAGAGGCACCGTTTTCGTTCTTGATGGCCGGCCTGCCACTGCTACGGCGTTGTTGTTCATGGTGTGGGTGTATAACGTCTGTTGTGGGAGTCCTCGGGTCTCTCGCCTGGTCGGGACCGGTGTGTGTACGTCGAGCCGTGGCGCTTTCCGTAATTTTTGAAAAAATACGCGCCTTCGCGCCTTCTGCCGATAAGAACCACTGGAAACCCTAGTTACGGTTCCGTGAAAAAAGTTACTATTCGGTGAAAAAAGTTACGAATTTTTGCGGCCTGATAAGACACACCTTTTTTTTTTTTTTTTTTTTTTTTTTTTTTTTTTTTTTTTTCGGCCTGATTAAAACCGACGCGAAAAGGTTGACGCTTCAAACATCGCCAGACTGCTGTGGCTCACACACGCTTGCTCTGCTGCGGTCTGCTGTGCGCGGTCAGCAGCGAACACATTGGCCATGCCTATACTGATTGCTCCTAGCGGTCCTGCACCCACGCGTCTCGGCAGTTCTCACGGCGGCCAAGTGGCCAGACGCGCGTGTTCGGCGCGCGCGTTCGGTAGATGCGCCGTCGCGATTGCGCACGGGCTTTCAGCAGCAAAAAGGGGCATAGGCAGGGGAGTGATTGGGGGAGTCTCGCCCTCGAAGGGAGCACATGGAGAGGAGTACGGGAGGGTACACGGACTTTGCCAGTCAGTAGGTGCATTTCGCCCGCCCCCTCACGGGGTTCGGTGCTCTGCTGCCGCAGTGACATCGGTATATACACAGCAGTGCAGCGACCAGCTGCCTTACTCATCAGCAACGAACGGCAGTTTGACGCCTGGGAAGTCGCAGTTTGACGCCTGGGAAAAGTCGCCGCGGCAAAGGAGGGAAGGTCGGCGGGATGAGGCGAAGGGGTACACCTAGTCTCCTGGGAGCCTGGGGGTGTGAGTCTTCGCTTCGGAATGTCGACCCTGGGTGGCAGCCCGAACCAACCTTGAACTCTACCTCCACCATTTTTTTTTTTCACCTCTCACGTGTCAACGGGCACACGCGGTGCGAATTTTTTCCCGTCAAAACCCTCAACCGTCACTTTATGTTGGCGTCAATCCTCAAAGGTCAAAATTCCGCGTCAATCCATAGTGGATACCCTATAGTGGCTCCAAATTTTCGGGCCCGACTTCGTTCCAAATTTATGTCAAAAATTTGGAACGGTGGGTTCCAAATTTTTGGAGCTTTTTTGGAGATTTGTACAAAATTTGGATTTTTGGACATCGATTAAAACGGCCCTTTAGTCTACTTCATTTCTACCGATGCTATGGCTCGCGTGCATCGGTGGCAGCAAGGAAGGTCACAGCAAGGTTCAGCTGCAGTCGCGGTTGCCGCAGCAGCAGCTGCTGCAGCAACAACAGCAACAACAGCAACAACAGCAACAACAGCAACATCAGCAGCAGCAACAACAGCACCGCCGACATTGAATACCCTACTACTGCATGCACTATACACAGCAGTACATAGATCGGGAGGTGGAATACTGCTGTAGTTTTCGATAGGTTTCGTGCATGGTACATACTTAAGATATAGTCTGTAATACGTGCAGCTCGGGTATCCAGGACTTTTTTCGCCGGCACGGCTAAACACCCCATGGGTGGGGTGATTTCACCACCCCACCGGTGGGGCGGTTAACGCTTGAACACCCCACCACACCCGTAGCTCGCTCTACAAGACTCCAATTCGCACAGGACTTCAGCGAACGTGTTGCGGCGTTGCAGGGCTATCTATCATTGGACCCATCGTGAGGCCGAAACGGCACCTACCTCATTGGTGGGGTAGATAAAACGTTATGGACACCACCACCCGGATCTCCCTCTACAAGGCTCCGATCGACACACAAGTACCTACAGGAGTTTGTGGTCGATGCATGCACAGTGCACAACACCAGGCAGCACCTGGGGCGGCGAACAGGTCAGGAAATCCTGCGGCATAGCGCCAAATACCTGGCGTGGGTAGCGAACACTGCCTTAATTTTTTTTGCAGGCAGACTCCTTCAGCTACAAAAGAGACCTGCTGGTTCTGCGCCCACAACACTCCAATTGACACAAGACATGTACGAATGTATTGCTGCGTTGCGGGGCTATCTTGGGACCCATGGTGAGGCCGAACGATAAAGGTTTGGTGGTGCCACGGCTGGTGATGGGGTGAAAACCCCACCAGCTGTAGTATCTCGCCGTAAGACTCCGATCGAAGCACAAGCGCCATGGTTAGAGCATGCTGGTCATAAACACACAGCGTATACACCACGCCGCACACAGCACACAGCATACACACACCGCAGCAGCAGCAGGCGCGGTGGGGAACAAGTCAACAAATCCCTCCGCACAGCCCCACACAAGTCAAGCGGAAAACTTGCCTTCCCCACTACCCAGTCTACAAGTAGAACATCCACTGCTGTGTTGTGCGCGAGAGATGCATCCCATGCGCATGAACTTCAAAGAGGAAAAAGTCTGGAAGGTAGGCATCTCACTCGTATCTACCGAGGGGGCGATACCGGTCGCTTTCCTCTCTCATCCACGAAGTAAGTTTCCCTTCCATGTGAACTAGCCGCGTTTAACACATGCCGTCTTTAATACCGAGACCCCTAGCGGTATTCTGCCATTGACATCCACCAACACCGAGGTTTAGTGCGACTGCTTCTTGTTGCCCTAACCTAACTTCGTGAATTGCTTGAATTTTTCTCTGCGCCATCTTCATCTCCTTCGGTAGTTTACGGTATACGCCACCAGTCCTCTCTATGATCTGGCGAAGGATATGCAGGGCCTTGGAATACCGCAAAACATTAACCTCAACTTCAACTGCAGGGAAATGAACACAGGGGGGGCGTTCAGAGGCAAATAGGGGATGGCGCGCCACCGTTTCCACCGACATCGCGACGTCACCGTCACCAGTGCCGATCTGAGAACGCTCACCTCGTGCTACGTCGCCACGTACGATTCCTGCTCCGATAAATCTCCTTCGTGGCCGCGAAACCGAATCCGAACACCCGTAGTCCTGTACCAATGCAACGCAGACAACGCTCGCTCTTCTAAGAAAATATGGAAGTCTTCCCGCCGCAGGGCAATGCATCCATCCGGTGCCCCCGGCCGGACGTCGAGAAAGGATAAATCTTGTCTGATCGCGCCGCCAGAGCATTGCGTCAACGTCAAAGTATAGCCACAATATATACCCGACTGCCCGGTCCCCAGCACTATAACTGCTGTCCCCCAACATCTTTCTCCCGGCATTACGGCACGCCGCGAATCCGGCGTTTCGCAACGGCCTGCGAATGAGTGCGTGCGACTCCCAATCAATGGGCGCATCGGTAGGCATGTATACCTGTCTGTCAACCCGGTGACAGTACCACGGCACACTTTCCGTGAGATGGCCAATGCACGTTACCCTTGTTGCACAACACCACTTCACAAAGAGCGCAAGGGCTTGCAAATATTACTGCGCCTCATGCTCCTCCGCCGAGAGGGACCCCATTTCTCCGATCAATCGTAGAATTCACACGGTGTCCTCCGACTCGACGGGTAAGTTCTTCGAGACGACTGCGGCACTGTCTCGAGGACGCTCTCGCGGCCAAGGATGACTCCGGTACAGAGATCGACGGTCTCTCGGGGCCCAAGACCTGTTCAGGTTACGCCATGCAACCAGACGAAGACATTCGTTGAATGGACTCCGGCTCCCATGGTGAAATACCATCTCCGCAATCCCTATGTTTACGACACCTCTAGTTTACGTGTGACGCCTCAATTCACCAGCCGCTGGCCATCTCTAAGCGGGATACACATGAGCGCCCCCGAACGGGACTCCCCCCCCGCAGTACTTGTTTCCCCACGAAACACTGTGAGAGTTGTCTCCCACCATATGTACACGACACTATTCCGCACGAAGCCCCGCCACATGTCGGGTTGGACAATGAGCACCCAGGCGCAAACCACCATTGAAAAAGCAATTCGAGTGTATACTGGTATTCAAGTCAGCGGGCCCCTTCACCCGTCCACAGATCGAAACGCTACCTTACTCTCGAGCAGTACCCGGACCGCAAGAAATAACCCCCCATCGCGTCTCCGGACACGTCTGACCACAAGAGGAACGAACGAAATGTCTGTGCCAAGCACGAACTAGAGGGGCCCATCAAACCACGCCGGCGAACCCAGCCCCCCTTCGACGACCAGGATCCAAAGTCCCCGCATGTCTGCAAGAAACTCGGGACCTATACGTATCGGCGTCGTTCGGAACACACGCTGACGACCGGAGCCAACCTAACTGATCGAGTATGCGGCGAGCAAACTATCGGCCAGACCGCACAACAGGCAGTTCACATACAGGTAATAGCTTTCCGATCACGCTTCTCCAGTCGGACTTAGATGCTCAAACTGGCGCGTGTTTGGGCCACTCTTGAACTGCGGCACGTAGACGTTATAGCTTGTCGGTCGGAACCGAAATGGTCATACCTACCGTATCGGCTTCCCGCACCAACACAAACAAACCCGTCTGCCACGAAAACAGCTTGTGAGGGGGACAACAGGGGGGGGGGGGAGACTACCGAACACGCGAAAATGATCCGGAACACACGATGCCGACGATCCTTTGCACTGCTGTGCACCGTTTAGCGTCCACATCACTTCCAAGCAGTAACAACAGCATCGTCTACACCACGCTTGATCCAAAACGAGCCTGAACGCCCCCATCCTGAGCCTGAGGGAATACGGCATCCGGCGGGGGTATCGGCGGAGGTGTCTCCTGCTCTACCGGTACTTGAAGCTTTACGTGATCCGTAGCTCTACACACCTGCTCGGCTACGATCCCATCGGCCCAAGACGTGTGGTCGTGGGAGAGCTCTAACACGTCAGTCATGTAGCAGAAAATTCCCGGCGAATTCCACCACCCGAGTACCAGGCGTCGGTCTACTGCGAGAAACCCAGAACGAGTACACAAAAACCGGTGCGTCTGGCCATCTAATGGCTACCTGCCACCGGAACCATCGGTTCTACTCAACACAATCCGCAACGACGGGCCGTCTTGCCCTCGTAATCAAACAATTTGCAAGACTCGTCCTCTGGCGCCGACGCAGAAGTGGTATCGGCATTAACCCTAGTGGCCTCGGGTAAGCATTCGAACGTCCAGTCGATGATGCGATGCGATTGCTTGGGTGACGAGACCACGGCGTCTCCGCAACCCAGGGAACGATTCCGCCGAGCACCACCTTTGTCAAGATGTCCCGTCTTCCTTTCTTCATTGCTTGAGTTACTGTCCGTGAAAAATGTCAGTACTGTATAAGTGAATGTACAAGAAGAGAAGCTGGCCGACCAGCGATTACCACAAGAATTATGGTACATCTATCATACACCAACCCACCACGAAATGCTACTGAATCGAAGGCACGGAAGGCAAGAACTAACCATCTTGAACATTTCACAACGAGCGATCCACCTACATCCACCAATGCTCTCCCCGGTATGTGTCTATAGCACTCTCGGCAGGAGTTTCCCGTTGCCAAAGGACGATGTCAATGGGCGTCTCTTCGCCTGTGGCCTTGCAATCAAGATTGGTTGTATCTGTCACGATTTTGTCCTCGTCGTAACTACCGGCCACCACGTTTGCCGAAGACGACAGGTTATCATCGCTACACCGGGTGTGGCGACTGTGGGTAGTATGCGCGGGGTGGCGCCCCTGGGTGCGCAGCGATCGGTGCTAGTCCGAGCTCCACGGTCTTGCCCTCCTGCGGGATGAGGCCGGTTGGTGGAGCCGAAGATGGGAATAGGTGCGGCCGCGACGTGGTTCGGAAGGGATGCAGCACGCGGCGTTAGCACACGCACTTAGGAAACTCTATTAATAGTTTTGGCCAAGGCTGGAGTTCCTATTTAGCTACGAATGGCCGCTGTAACGTTGAAGTGTAGGGTTCAAATTCGAGCCTAAAAATGGTGCTCAACTTCTTAGATTTTGCAATATTCGAGGCCGTGTCAATTTCTTCACTGCCAGGTCCTTACGTGCGGGCGTTAAACAACCACAAGGAAATGGGGCCTTGCCGCAGAACGACAGCTACAGCTTGTGGGACAGGTGACTTCTCAAAAGTACGTATGTGAGAATGGAAAACGATAATCCTATGAGACGAACCACCGACCACCTCACCAACGGTCGTTTCGTACAGGAGCAACAAAACAATCCTTGAGAGGAGAGGAATAGTTGACAAGCTCCATGACAATATCGAACGGTTGGATAACGTGTGGGGCAACATTTGACCTAACACGAACTTCACGCCGGAAGCACGAGACAAGAACAACCGAGGCAAGACAGGCTGATACCGGGTTAAGCGTAGCGTTCGTACAGCAGGTCGTGGCATTCTCTCTATGAAGGGGAAGTGTCGATATACAAGATCAATATGCGGGGCAGGGCCAACGACCGTCGACAAATGGCAAGAAACAATCTAAAGCTCGCCTACAACATATGTTGCTACTTTGTCAGGGAGTGTCGATATGCCGACTCTCTGTCGGGCATGGCGCTTCGGACGAACGAGGGGTGGTGGTATTTGCGGTGAAACTAATTTAGCGCCGGCGAACCGATGCCAAAATATTATTCAGCACTCACGTGGGGCATGGCCGTGCAGTCACCGTCCTCCCAGAAGAACACCGCCGTGAAGGAAAAAATAGCACCCAGGCCCATGGTGATGGCTCCGAGAAGAGGGGGCAAGGCGTACCAGAGGGCAGTAGTGCCTTCGCTCGATCCGTCGAAAGAGTCGTCACCCTCGACAATGTTATCGTCATCCGTGATCCTGAAATTCAAGGTCAGTCGTGGCGGATTGATTTAACGGAAAATGTAAGGACGGGCAGCTGACCGTGGGTCGCAAAGACTGCCTATCGTCTCCGGCGTTATGTGAACTGGTAAAGAACCCCCCCCACTCCCGAGGGGACAGCAAACACGGGACCATTGACTTCAAGCCGTCAGCCAACTACATCATCTCGACTACCAACTGCAGAACGTCCCAAATTGGCACCAAATCGAAGCAGCTCGGACTAGCAGTACTGGCCTCTGTGGGAGAAATTAATGCCGGTCTAACGCCATGAGCTGCGTTGTAGTTGTTGCGCTTGCGAAAAGGACGACTGAGGTGTTCACACGCACCTTTCCACCCACAGTGAACGCCGAACGCCGTTACCAAAACAAAGGTTTGCTGAACAATAGCAGTGACGAATGCATTCCTGATCAATCTAGCGAAGCTCAATTCGGCAGGTCTTTGAATTTGGCTACTTTCCCGGGGCTCACCATCGCAAAACGGCGAAGAGGTCGAACAGCGCACATACCGCGAACCCTACGCCGCCTATGGCGTACATGTACTGGTCGTAGATGCACAGGACAAGGCCGCCCACCGCGAAGACGCCAAAGGCAGCGTTCCGCTGCCAAGGCCAATACCAACCTTCCACGAAGAGGCTGATCGTGTGGATGACGATCGACAACGCAATACATAGCCGTGCCTGCGGAGGAAAGAAAAGCGACGGAGGGGGGGGGGCGTCAGGATAAGTTCGGTGTGATTGTGGCGACACGATGGCGGTGTCTAATATTTGAATTGTTGCTGCCATCTCCATCCGCGTCTCTTGCACAAACCTTCCTCGCCTCTGACTGACCTAGGCGAAAAGCATGCAGAGTGATGGGAGCCCTGCTGTAGGTCGGTGTCGTCACTACAATGTAGGAGGACTGACTGTCGCCCGTCCTTAACCCGCCCGAGCCATCGAGAACGGAGCGGCCACGCAGTTGCCAGGGGCCGAACCGGGCCACCTCTTGGAACAACCTTCTTCGTGAGAGCTGTCGAAAGAAAGACCGTTGGAACAGAATCGAACTTCCAATATATTCACAAATTTTTCGGCTCTCCCTCCCGAGGTAAGCTCAGCCCGATCAGGCATGCCTGAGGTATTGCCTGAGGGTCCCCTTTTTCAAACCTCTCATGCATGCCTGACTCAATGCCTGAGAGGGCAATTGTACCAGATGCATGCTTGAGACGGTGTGTCGTTCCTGAACCGCTACTAGGCAGCTCCAGCCAGCACATGGAGAAAAGCCACCACGACATAGTCCAACATGACCCGTGTTAACCCTAAGTACTGCTGCTGGTATGGTACGTACGTACTAGTATCCGTGGAGGAAGACCGAAACGAAAGCGGGAGAGAACTGATACATACAGTGTATGTACCGGTACTTCTCAGATGGAAACGATATCGTTTGCTGTCGTCACGCCATAGCCAAACTCGCATTAAACACAAGACCAATCGCTGCATGTAAATCTTTTACGTACCAGCCTACGCTGCGGTTACCGGTGTAGACTATACTTTCAACCGGCAACAACTCTTTTTTTATATATTTTCTTGACCGTTCCATCGAGTTTTTGTGTTTTTTTCAGGGTACACCTCGGGAAAATTCCCGCCGTTTTTTTCCCGCCGTGGTGGGCGGTCCCGGTACTGGCGGTAATTACCGCCACATTCGGTGGTACCGGGAACCGCCGAAAGCGGTACCGCCGAAAAACGAAATACCGCCTACCGCCTAAAAAGTACCGCCATATTGCAGTACCGCCGAAGAAGCACCACCAAAAAACGAAGTACCGGGAACCACCTAAAAATAACCGCCATATTGCAGTACCGCCGAAAAAGTACCGCCGTACTGCAGTACCGCCAGAATAGTACCGCCATACTACAGTACCGCCGTAGAAGTACCACCGTAAAAGTACCGCCATGTCGCACGAGCCTGTGAGGTTGTCGCACCTGGGAGAGAAGTAGGCTAGAAGAGTGTACGAAGGGCTATTTTCCGTATGGAACAGCGGTTCGAGCCCAGCTGGCCTGCATCTTCGTTCATCTTTTTTCTCTTTGTTTTTCCTCTTTTGTCATATGTACTCCCCAAACCTAAAAATAGTTAATTAAATCAAACACCCCCATATATTTTATATTTATACTTTTTAATTTTATTTTTATTTTTTATTTTGTTCAGGGTACACCGGGAAAATTCGCGCCATTTTTTTCCCGCCCTGGTGGTGGGCGGTCCCGGTACTGGCGGTATTTGCCGCCACATTCGGTGGTACCGGGAACCGCCGAAGGCAGTACCGCCGAAAAAGGAAATACCGCCTACCGCCTAAAAAGTACCGCCACATTGAAGTACCGCCCCGCCTGAATCCGTCTAAAAAACTAGTACCGAGGTGTACCCTGATGTTTTTTTCGTCCTATTATAATAGTATTTGACCCCTTCGTTCAGAATCAATCACCTTTGAGCTGTGTGGAACTCTCTTGTCCGACCACAGTAGCAGGTTGTTGTTGCTTTCCGTTGTTCTCTTTCTCTTCATCAACGCTTTCCAAGCCAACTCACAATATCCCACGCACACACGATCAGGGATCGTCTGTACGAACATACTGGACAGAAGGGCACATGTCTCGGCATAAAGCCCTGATCTAGCATGACGTCACGTCTTAGCATCCGACGGCGCCAAATAACCATGATCTACCACGATCACATGTATGTATGTCTACCTCCAAATACCATAGTAACACTAACACTATTATTATTATTATAGGCGACAGCCCCCCATTTTTCGTTCAGTGTTTGTAGCGTAATTTAGTACACTCTTCGGTGTACGTACGTGTATTTCCCGCCTTTTCCGGCTCAGATAGGGAGAGGGCACCGGGGTGCGTGCATACAACAACTGTGTGAACTTCATCGGAGATCGCATCGATCGGTCGGATAGATGGCACCGGGGTGCCTCGAAAAAACTAAACGAAATGATACAAATGATAATAAGCATACATATAAATTTATATTAATAAGTGAATTGCCGGAGGGTCTCCCACGCTTTCTACAGTTTTCCCAGACGAACCATGGGCAACAAAGTGCCCATGGGCACCCCGTTAGGCCCATGGGCGGCCAATGAGAGCCCTTCGACCGAACCAGTGTACTGCTAAACAGCAGTAGACAAGAAACCTTCTAGATAATATAAATGGGCACTTCGTTGCCATGGGTCACACACATGGGTCGCCCATGGGCATGCCCATGCCCATGGGCACGAGCATCCCCATGGGCGGCCAATGAGAGCCCTTCCACCGAACCAGTGTACTCCTAAACAATATAGATTCTCCGCGTTGGAACGGGCACTATAGCGGCGAATGACCCTAACGCTAACCCTAACCCTAACCCCAAGCCCACACGATACGTGCAAGGTTCCAGTCCTTAATAGGATAGGGGTTCAACGGTTGGCGCTGGTGGCTAAACTCTAGATTGATGTGCATGTGACTAAATAAGATCTACAAGTAGGTTGATAGTAGGAAAAACATATACAAACACAGAAATACTCTATAGTCTAATAGTCTAACCGTTCGACATATACCCACAGCAGTCGAAGATGTGGTGGAGTCTTTTCAGTGAGTGGAGGAAATGCCGGTGGCGAAGTCTAGGTTGAAGTGCCCACGGCCGGCCCACGGGTGACCCATGGGTGACCCATGGGTGTCCCATGGGCGGTTTGGCAAAACTGTCACTAGTGTGGGAGACTGTTTCCGCAGGAGGGGTCGGAAAGATGGCACCCGTCGGTCGGAGAGATGGCACCAGGGTGCAAGAAAAAAAAATATATATACCGTATGTGACACAAGATAACACACCCCCTGGACCGATTTTCAAAGCTCGATTACTCCACGACGAAGAGGATGCATAAATGAAACAATACGTTTTCGAACAGCTCTCGACGAGACGGTTCCAACGCCGCCATTTTCGGCGCTGTGACTCTTCCTGCTGTTGAGAAATCGAGCTTTGAAAATCGGCCAAGGGGGTGTGTTATCTTCTGTCATATACGGTATCCCACCCGGTGCCATCTCACCGACTACGGCAATCCATAGAACATTGTACATAGCAAGGGTCAAGTTGAACCGGCAATATGTTGGAACTCGTGTGAAAGAGGGGGAGCGAGGGGGAGAGGGGGCGAGAGATATAAAGATGGAAAGCTTGGAACCGTCCTTACTGCTCTGCGTGTTTGTCTCACCGCTGTCACAGCACGTGAAGCCCCTGGAGGCACCCCAAAATAACCTGGATCACTCCCTGTGGCACCGCCGCCGACCTTGTTGTAGATGATGCTGGGTATCCGAGCTTGCCGCATCTTGAATCCAGCAACCTTCAATCCTCAGCAATCCCCCTTGAAATGTGCCTGCTGCTGTAGATCGGAACAGCTGCCTCGCTATGCCTGCGCCACTGAGTGTGGGTGCTCAGTTCTCTCTCCTCGGCGCGTGTGTGGCGTGTAGCAAGCTGTCTGTGTAGAGTGTGGCACAGCAGTAAGGATATGTAACTGTAGCTCCCCGTCAGCCACAACAATTCGGAAACATAAATACAAAGACAGAAAGACTGAAGACTGTAACTGTAGCTCCCCAGCCACAACAACTGGCTGCAGCAGTGGTGCGTACTTCCAAGAACATTCCTCGGGCTGAAAATGTGCGCCGTATTGTGCGGGCCGCACAGTGAGAACCGTTCTGAAAAACACCATATGCATACCAGATATAGTCTATGACTGGTATCAACGTATCAACTGAGTGACAAGAACGCCTTCGTACCCACGTTCGGAGAAACCTCCATCGGGAATCTACAAATCCCGGTGGCATCTCGACCCTCCAGTGCAACCGATCGATGCTGGTTACTGGTGTATCCGGAAGGGGTCGATCTTGTAAATTTACCCAGAAATAAATGGTCATCATGCATCGCCTCCCTGGGATACACCAATTTCCGACGTCTTCGTCGGTACAACGCGCCAGCGGGGAGGGTGTGGTTGGGAAAACTCTGGAAGAGAAGGCAGTATGCAAACATGTGTCTTGTAGCTATTTACAGTGTCAACAGCGAGCTACAAACATCTCGCACACTATGTGGACACACCATAGTCTATCTAATTAAGTTACGTCTACACCACCATTCCCATGAGGAAGGAGGACCAGATCAACCAGATCGCCATTTATCACATTGTATGCACTACTTGCGGGTGTTGCGCCTCCTGTGTGCCCCGTTGGCTATTTTCGCGTAGTGTCGACGCGTGAGTTGTATTGTTAGTCTAACTCACTCTAGGTGCTGATTAGTAAGAACATAGGGGAACAGAGAGACAAAACGGGCTGCCTCAATGAGCATCGTGCTTAGACTATGTAGGCACAGGACAAGGCGGGTTGGTTTCGCCGCGATGATCTATGCATTCGGAGGACGAGGCTGTCGGAAACTGGTATCTTCCGGAGGCGGTGCCCATCAACTTGGTTTATTAGTTGTGGTAGAGGGTGCGTTATGTGCAGTGGGAGCAGCTGCTGCTATTACAGCTGCAACGGCAACAGCAACGACGACCCCCTGGATATCCTGCCGTAGGCCACCGCGGTGAATAAACCAAGCATAGCTACAGTAGCAACCACCCCCGAGAGCCGGACACACGAACGCTCTCTTCATTGGTGAGTCCGATAGCGCGGTCGATGCTAATAAGAAACACACGCAAACAATCAGCGCACGTCAAAACCCGATCCCAAATTAGTGTATGTATCTACCAGATAGATCGTAGTTGTCCGACTCCTCTCTGGTACATGGTCCAACGATTCCCATCTATTGCACTCCATACACGTCTCCGACGACACAGCACGTGACGCCTTCGTGTGCGTTCTTATTATTAGCATCGACCGCGCTACCCCGCTGACCAATGAAAAGACGTGTGTGTGCGCGCGCGTTTTCATCCCATCCACCCTGGCCGTCAGTCTGCGCCTGTCAACACATGTTTACCACGTCCGACACTCGAAACAAACATCGCATGCAACACCCGAACAAACGCACATGTTGTCAAGGCGAAATACGAGGAAAGCAATTAATTCCATCCAGAGAAAACGGCGACAAACACCCTGAGCGCGACATTTCCTAACAAATATAAATGGCTTCAGTCTAAACCCTATTTTCCAGTACGACATGGGCAGTTTGAACTTGGCACATGGCGGCAGCAGCCTAGGCTTTCGCCTTTGTCGTCTTGCAAGAGGGTCGAAACCTCTTTGCCATTCTTTCGATGGTCGGGATTTCCTATGTAGAGTCTACACAGGGATCTGCGAAGACAGATTATTGGGGGGGGAGTGCTATAATAGAAACCAACTTCTGAACTACAAAGACAGAGAGAGAGAGCACCCGCCAGTACAGTCTTTACTTCGCAAACAAGTCGAAACGAAAACCAGGAACACGGAGAGAGGAGATGAGCACTACTACGTTGACCCGGGTCTTCACCCTCAGCACCCAAAACAATCAGTACACACCAGTTTCAACATATGAGAAACAACTACCGGAAACATACTAGATAGTACAGACGACTAGGAACGAGTGTGTACTGCTGGTGAGCCCTCTCAAGCTGACATTTCGCTTGAATCAGTCAATCTAAATTCCTCACTGCATTCCACGGGCTGTAGTACACTGAGACTAGAGAGACAACGTCTGTAACCCCCCCCGCCGACAACAGAGCTAAAGGGAAACATAACCACGTGAAACTGCCGACGTCACCACCTCATGCCCCGTCGGCTGTTGCTGCTGCATCTCTCCCCGGGAAGTGCCTCTTCGCTCTTGTACCCCCAATACCCGCCCCCCATTTCTCAAGTACACTCGGTGGTGCAAAACAGATTCTCGAGCCATCTTGCATGGTTCGTTTTGCAGTCAATCGATGCTTACAATCAGGCGAGTTACATTAACTTTCTCAAGGGGGTAACATTCGGTACAAACGCCGTGGCCGTGGTACCGCGGCCAAGAAAAGCACAAAAGCCGGTTTTTCCCCCCTGGAAAAATATACTGTGGTATCCGTATTGGAAGGTGTCCAGCTTACAGCAATGCATGCACAAAAATCTGGCACAATCCCCCCCATCCATGTACCCCACAAGGATTGAGGCTGTGCGTCCAAGACACGACCAAAAACAAAAAAAAATAACAAAAAAACAAAACAAAAAACAACACATTCAGGGTCAAAACTACATATGTACCTCCTCGCTCAATGTTTCAAGAAACATCCCCCCCATAAAGTACCTTGTACAGTAGAACAAATGCAACGCCTTGGCAACAAGGGCAAGGCTCGATGCCCCAAATGTGCCGCACGAACAAATCGAGAAGCGGCGCAATATCATCTGCCTCCCGTCTCTTCCTCTCTGCAACACGTTCGAAAACACACTCAAATTGGGACAGCTCTACAGAACACACGACACAGCACTCAGTTACACAATGCACCTTTTTCTTCACGCGGAATGCTCTCGTACGCACAGGTCTGCACAATCGTAGACACATATAGACAAGACAAACAAATAATTGACCAACCACAGACCGACAAGAGATGGACCAACCGACACAACACAAACAGACACGGCAGGCAAGCTTCATTGTGCCTAAGGCAAACAAGATCCAACAACTATTATTTTCCATAGCAGCCATAGCTACCACAAGACTTACACGAGGAGGAGACAGGGGAAACAAACTCAATTTTCATCTATGGCGAGAGAATAGCGACGGTTCCCTCGAGAAACCAGCGATGAAACTGCCGGGACAAATCAACCAACGACGATATATGACCATATTATTTCGAAACTAAAACAAGTACTACTGCAAGTTCCGCGGGGGAGAATGGCCCCGGTTTGTGGCCAAGGCCTCGCCCGAAGTCGAGGAGCCGGTTGAACAACGTCACACGCCAAAGCCCTCTAGAAAACCTTTCATTGCCGTACAGAATAATAGTGCCGGGAGCAAATGGAACGGCACCCGCGCCCGAAAAGTCCTGCCGGTCGACGAAACGGCGGTGTCCTCTACAGCACCACCTTCCGTCGGGAGGCACGGCAACGCTACCCCCCCCCCCCCCTTTCCGTTATATCATTCACGAAGTACCCGCCCCACCCCCATACCCTCCATCACCATCACCCCCACGAGAAGGCAAGGGCCCACCTCTATCACCAACAATTCAACATGTTGTCATGCCTCGTCCCTTTGTGTTCAAGGCCGAAGGTATGCAACCCATCTCTGTGACAACATGTTAGTTCTTGGCACATACACGTACATAGTGTAGAAGCGTGGCAAACCACAGCCAAAGAAACGACTCAAGGTCGTACAATGCACAAGGGCCGGAAAGGGATCACGCAAGTACCTCTAAATAGCATGCGTTGAATGGTCTTGGCATGACTCTCCGCGACCAACAACGTGCATTCACTTTCTCACCCCAAGTGCTACAACAACAGCGCGAGACTAACGCAAAAAGTGTAGCACACATCACTGCGGTAGAGTTTCTTTTGCAATATACGCCAATGAAATATGAAATTCACAAGAAAAATACCACGAGCATCGACGCTGAAATCGGTCGCTGCTAAACACGTAATGCAACAAGGTTGCCGCATGAGCACAAAGCTTGAAGGAAGCAGACCCATTCATCACATGCCAAAAAAAAAAAAGCGCGTGTTTTTGAATAGCTGAAATCGACAAGACGACACGTCGTTTCAACTTCAACTCCGGTGAGCAGGAAGATGCGGACTGAGGATCAGCCAATGAAAATTGCACGACCCCGGGCACTGCGAGCAAGACCCCGACGCTCTATGGCCATGCACACAGGCAACCTGCTCCGTCCCCCCGCCCGACCAAAACCACCAACGCGGTGCATACCCGTTGCCACTGAAACTCTCGCTCGAAACCAACCAACGCGCGAACGACCAACCTCAAAACTGGTAGTCGCCGCCGGTGACAACGCCGCAGCTCACGGCACCGCCGCCGCCGGCGAGCGGAGGCACAGCCCCGTGGTTGTCGGCGGCCGTCAACATCCCAGCTGCCGGGACCCCCGACACAGCCTCGAGCAGGTCTCCGTTGGGGGTCACGCCTGCCGGCAGCAGCCAGTCCGTCATCCCGTAAGGGAGGGTCCTAACGTGGGTCACGCTCTGCAGGGGCTCCGCCACCGCCCCGAGACCGCCTGCGCTACCTTGGAAACCCCGCTGTTGGACCGGGCCAGCGGCGGCGGTGGCGAGGGCAGCGGGTTCCCCAAAGGGTTCCGCGGCGACGTCGTTGATCTCGAAGACTGGCGACTGCGCCCGCGACACGCCGTCGCCACCACCGCCGCCGCCGCCGCGTTCGCTCCAAGAGGAGCAAGAGGTAAGCAGCCCCCCCCCGGGGCCGCAGACGTCGCCGCCGTTCTCTAGGATGAACGAGCTGCGGTGGTTCAGGAGCCGGCGCCAGCTGCCGTTGCCGTTCGAGTTGATCGACTTGATGCGCGACAAGGGGCGGGGCTGCTGCTGCTGCTGCTGCTCTTGCTGCACGGTGGAGCCGGTGGCAGCAACGCCCGCCGGCCCGGTGGCCGTGACCACCGCCGATGCCGCCGCCGCCGCAACCGCAGCCGCAGCCGCAGCCTCGGTTGTCATCGTCGCCGCCGCCGCGGAAGCAGCGGCTGCGCTAACGACCCTCTGCGTTGCGGTAATGGCCGGGTTCAACGAGCCCGGTCTCGGCGGACGGGATGCGGATGCCGCATCGCGGGGGGGGGCGGCGACGGCCTGACAGGGGGGGGCGGGAGCTGCTTGGTTCCAAAGGCGCCGGAGCCCGTTGTCCGGGCCGGCCTGATCGGGACCGGAGATCTGGTTAACCTTGACCTTCTTTTTCGGCGGGGGGGTAAGCTGCTTGTGCGGCTTCTGTTCCTGCTGCGGGTCTTGTTGAGCTTCAACGGCGTCTTCCTCGGTCTCGAGCTGTCCAGGGAGACGGGCGGCGTTGGGATCGTAATGTAGTCGGTATCGAAGGGGGCAGGAGGTACAGGTAGATGTGCAACGTCGATTCGCCCGCCTTAAAAACGGGCACCGGCCCTATTGATCGTACTTGGCACAAAAAAAAACGATTCTTCTCATCGGTGCCAAGAGATTGCACCAAGAGAGGTACGGCGGCTGGTCAGGCACAGGCAAACCGAATCGAAAACGGAATGGACTGGACAACCAAGCCTCCGCACGAGTACACGCAGACACACACAGCAAAGCGTGTTCACGTTCTTCATCCCGTTACATGCAAGACTGGAATACTTCTTTTCGTCAGCCGGTTGGCGCGCGATGCTATTGCAACTACAAAAGACAAACACACAAAAAAACACAAACCATCATGCCCCGATGACTGGCACAGTCGACGAGGACGAAGCTACTCGAAGACTCACAAAAAACACAAAAAACACACCTGCCCTAGGAGCTCGTCGATCAACTCGTCCTCCTTCGCAGACGCCTCAAACGCCGCCGGTTTGTGCGGGAACTCCAGGAACGATCCGCTGCTGCCACCGACCTTTCCGTCGATGGGCGTGGGCGGGAGCACGGTTGTGCTGTCTCCGTTCGCCGCGCGTCCCCCCCCGCCATAACATCCAACGTCCAAGAAACTGGCCGCCGGAGGTCCGCCCCCCGCCTGCTGGAGGGGAGAGGGGGGCAGATGGCGGGGGGTGGGGGGGGGGGGGGGGGGGGGGGGAATTCCCTTGGAAAAAGGGGGCACGAAAAAACCCGGGGGGTTTTTGGCCCCTTTAGGGGTGTTGAGCCTTGCAAAAGGAAAAAGGAAACCTCGGGTTGTTACGGAAGGGGCCCCGCTTTTTTGTGTCGGCCCGGGGGGAATTAAGATGACCCCAAACCAATTTAAAGGGGGGGCCCCCT